GGGGGGGGGGGGTTTCGCAACCCTAGAGATATTGATAAGTGCAAGGTGGATGGTTGCCATGTTAGAGGCTGCCCTGAGGAGGTATCCTAGTGGTGTTCTGGCACTCAGGATCAAATGGTCATACCAGGTGGGTACTTCTGGGTCAGCGGTACTTGGATTTAAAAAGGAGCAATAAATGAACAAAACGAATTGGGACCATGGTTGTAAGAAACGGTGTAGTCTCTCGTTTACCAGTTTCTGTAAAATGACTTTTTGAAATGTTCTTGAAGGCGTCTTGCAGCCTGTGTGTTTGTACCGCTGTCGTTGCCTTTATATTAACTTCACTGTTTGGTGGCTCAAGTGGTTAAGATGCTGAACTGCAGGCTTTGGAAGGTCGGTAGTTCAGCAGTTCGAGACCCGAGTGTGCCGCATGACGGAGTGAGCTCCCGTCTCTAGTTCCAGCTCCTGCCAACCTAGCAGTTCGAAAGCAAGAAATTGCAAGTAGATAAATAGGTACCACTTCGGTGGGAAGGTAACAGCGTTCCATGCGCCTTGGTGTTTAGTCATGCTGGCCACATGACCACGGAAATGTCTTCAGACAGCGCTGGCTCTTCGTCTTTGAAACGGAGATGAGCACCGCAACCCTAGAGTCGGACTCAACTGGCTTTCGAGCAAGGGAACCTTTACCTTTACCTTTGGGAGACACAGTAGGAGTGGGATGGCGGAAGCTTCGTTTGAGAGCCAGTCCACACTGGTGGCTGGAAAAGCAAGGAAGAGGAGCTACCCCAGCAAGAAGCATTTGTCCTATGAATGAGTTGCGTTGGCTGGATGTAATTAGAGCAGACGTTAGAGAAGAATCCTGGCTCTGTCCCAGAGACTGGCTGTTGTCTTCCTCTGTAATTAGGAGTAAAGTTCTGTTCTGTGTCCCTCATGCTGAAGAAGTGACTGGATGTTCTCATTAAAGCATGTTAATGCCTGAACCATGGTGTAAGCAAAGCATGGTCATCTTAAAGGGCTAAATCTCTTTGCATGAGGAGTCCTATTTCTTCAACTAATTCATAGAAAGGTACAGAACAAGAGTAGGTACCTGGTTCTAAATCTAGCGCTATGTTAAGATTTTTATAACAGATTTCAGTTCCATTTTTCAAAATTCACTTTAGGCCCCTTTAATAACCTATTTTTTTATTTCTGAAATGTCTAGTGAGAGTTGTAGTCCCACTTAATTGATTGTTTCTGCTTTAGGAGAAATTAAAACTCGCTGAGAGCTCTCAGAAGGCCATTTAATGTTGATTCTGTTAGCTTGACACATGTATTGGGAGAGAACACTTCTGAGAGTACACTCATGGATCTCAGCTGCCTACACAACTATTTACATGATCATATTTAAAAATAGTTCTTTGGATTTAGCAAAAGCAGGGTCTCTGCTTTCTGGAAGTGCTTTGATTCATATCTGATCTTGGTTTGTACCTGGGTTAAAGTCTTCTTCATGTCATTGTCATGCGGAGAGACATTTACGTGTTTCAAGAGTTTATATACCACCTCTCCACTAATAAGCGTCCAAGGAAAAAAATAACAATACAAGCAGGGGACCTGCAAGGGCTTGCGGGGGGCATCTCATTTTCCCCATATCTCTGACCTCCACTATTTCTTCTGAAAAGTACTGGGTTCGACGCATGGAGAACTCGGACTACGACATGCGTTCAGACGCGTTTATTGTACTTCACAACAAGACACACAAAACGGCCCTGCAAGGCTAACTATATACACTCCACCCGGCACACTTCTGTCCCCATTGGAGGGTTTAAATATCCCGCCAAGGGTGCTATTGGTGGACTCCCGGTGGACTAGGATCCTAGGTCCCCTTTGTGTTTGGGACCAAGCTCCTGCTTTAACCGCGGACCCCTGGTGGCGGTCCGCGTACATAACATCTTCTTTCTGTTCCCTGGCAGCCTCCATAGCTTCTCTCCTTTTCCTGCTTCCTTCTTTCCTTCCCCCCCCCCAGCCAAACATACCTTCATTTGTCTTCATCTTTCCCTCCTTTTCTCCTTCTGGCAGCTTCTCCCTGGGAAGTCTGACCTGGTTGTGTGGTAGCTGGCATCGGAGTTCAGATTTTTCTGCAAACCTAGGACCTCCTTCAGGTTTGTAGAGAAATCCCCCCTCTGTCCCTGACTCCATTTTGCAGAACTATTAATCCCACAATCTATTGTTTGGTTTTGAAATAGACATCTAACTCCAAAGTGGAAAGCTTCCAGCAGTAATAAAATGATGAAACAAACAGCTGATAAAACCAAATTAACAAATAGCAGGTGAACTCTAACCAAACCGGGTACAGATTAGTTAAAAGCCATTGGAAATATTCTCTGTCTGGCTCTGAAAATGTCCAGAAAAGGTGCCAGGTGCAAGGAAAGAGAGAGGGCACTCTAAAGCCTGAGTTCAAGCACTGAAAGGACACTGTCTCTCGTGGCCGCCCACATCCCCTCTGACTGCAAGGGGGACATAGAGAACAGCCCGTGAACCTAAACACACTGCCGGTAGTTCTGTAGGGGAGTAAGTGGCCCTTCAAGTATTCTGCCCCCCCCCCAGCTGTATAACACTTTATATGTTAAAATCAGTACCTTGTATTGGGACTGGAAGCGTGCATAAGAAGAGCCCTGCTGGATTGGACCAGGTGTCCATCTAGCCCAGCAACACAGAGGCCAACCACTGACCTTGGCAAGCCAACAAATAGGTCATAGCAGTCAAGGCTTTCCCCTGACCCTGCACTGGATTCAGAGGTTTGCTGCCTCTGAACATAGAGGTTCCCGTCAGTCACCAGCTAGTAGCCATTGTGTGACTTGTCCTCCATTAATCTGTTTTAACCCTCTTTTAAAACTATCAGTGTTTGTGGCCATCAATACATGTATGCAGGGGTCATTTTGTAGAAAAAGAGGAGCAGGAGCTCATTAGCAGAACTTATTTGCATATGCCACACCCCCTGACATCACCGGAGATGTATCAGAAGGCAACACCCACCGCTCAGGCTCCACTGGACTGTTTTGGATTGCTAGCTACTGGGGGGGGGATGTGC